ACTTCTTCTTCTTCTTTTTATACCGAAAAAAAATATTTCACTAGAAATTTAAGTAATTTGAGATGAAAGGATTTTAAGTGATCCTAACTAGATTTTTTAATAAAAAAAATCTCTGTAGTGATTATAGACCAGGGTCGATAATTTTTGAAACCAAAAAAAATTATAGTAGGATGAAACCCATTGGAAAAGAAAGAGAATATAACAGAAATGAAAGGAAAAATAATTTACGGGTGATCTGAGGTCGGGAAGGGGTAGGGGGTGAGTTTTTAAGGGTAAAAAAACGGTTTCCCTTGATTTCCAGAAAAACTACAAGTCTTATGGAAAAAAGTTAATTGGAAAAGTTGTAGGTAATAAAAAGATCTACAACTTTTGTATTTACACTTTTTTCACATAACCTCAAAATTTATGTGAAAAATTCAAATAACCAAGTTTTTGGTTTTTTATTTTTACAAAAAAAATTTTTTTTCACGAAATTTGGTGAAAACTTACCTATTTATGTTCCAAACACGCTATAATTTTTTTGATTCGAAATATTTATTTTTTCACCTTATTTTTACTTAATATCGAAAAAGCACCCTAATTTTCAATCGAAAATTCTCATGTCAAAATATCTGCTTTTCTAAAAACGTCGGTGGGCTTTTTCTTCGTTGAAATCTCTACTTTCTGATAGTGTAAAAAAAATATACATTACTATGGTAAGTTTTCTCAGGAAATGCAAAGAAACGAAAGAAGATTCTACAACTTTCTCAAAATATTGTAGATGTCTTATTAAATATTAACTTTATTAACTTATTTGGTTCTTAATTATAACAGTATATTTCGACTTGTAATTTTTTTGTTTATCAATGTAACATGGAATCTTACGTTTTTCGAGTAATTAAAGTGTAAATTTTAACAAATAGCTCAAAATTGTACATAATGATTAGAAAAAAATTTTCGGATTCTAGTTCGTTTCTTTGCATTTCCTGAGAAAACTTACCATAGTAATATATATTTTTTTACACCATCAGAAAGTAGAGATTTCAACGAAGAAAAAGCCCACCGACGTTTTTAAAAAAGCAGATATTTTGACGTGAGAATTTTCGATTGAAAATTAGGGTGCTTTTTCGATAATTAAGTAAAATTGAGATGAAAAAATAAATATTTCAAATCAAAAAAATTACAGCGTGTTTGGGACATAAATAGGTAAGTTTCCACCAAATTTCGTGAAAAAAAAAAAATTGTAAAAGATAAAAATAAAAAACCAAAAACTTGGTTATTTAAATTTTTCACATAAATTTTGAGGTTATGTGAAAAAAGTGTAAATACAAAAGTTGTAGATCTTTTTATTACCTACAACTTTGCCATTTAACTTTTTTCCATAAGACTTTTTCCGGAAATCAAGATAAACCGTTTTTACCCTTAAAAACTCACCCCCTTCCCCTTCCCGACCTCAGATCGCCCGTAAATTATTTTTCTTTTCATTTCTGTTATATTCTCTTCCTTTTCCAATGGATTTCATCCTACTATAATTTTTTGTCACTTTTTACCATTTTTGAAGGCTTAAGCACTGGTCTAGTATCCTTAAAACTGACAACTAGATCATCGTAATTCGTTCAATACTATGTAGAAGAGAAAAGTAGTATATAATATGTATATTTAACCATCAGCAAATCATTTTATGGATTCTGTTGAAAAAATTGTACAACGTATAGAAGAATTTAATAATTTTCTATGAATTTTTTAGAAAAATGCAATATTTCCCTTTCTTAATTGTAGTTAAAACACTTGGATAAATTAATAAATTACCATTTGAAATATTTGTATCTTTCTCTTTTGCTTAAATAGCAGTTTGTATTGAGTTTATGTTATTGCTTCACTTTTATTTATATATCAATTTGATTGTCAACCGACACTGTAGATTACACCTTTAAAAACATATTCAGTACATAAACTATGCCATTAATTTAAATTTATCTTGGTTATTTGTAAAGTATATAAAAATTTACGCGCTGGTCCCATAAACGTAGCAACAAAATTCTGGTGTATATATTTAAAATACGACATTTATAATATGCACAACCATTTATGGCTCACGATGAAAGCGCATTTCACTAAAGCTGTACACAACAATTAACAATTAGTAATGGAGACGATGTTTTATTACAATGGTTTTAATGCATATTATATTGAGTCTACAAAAAATTATTCCCATATACATACAACACCTCATAAAGAGAACCGTGACAACAATTGGCAATTTATTGGGCACTGTGTGAATATGTGGTTGGAACAATAACGGTCGAGAAACATCTGGAAATAGTTTAATTTCTTCCGTTCTTTGTCTGCAATTTTGTATTGGTGCATTGTCGTCGAAAATGTCGTAGTTATATTCTTTTTTCTTTTAAATATGTATATTTCATACCTATATCGGTGACAATAGTGCTGGGAAGTCCCATTTTTTCTACTGTATGTCTGAAAATATGGTTTTTGACTAATTTACTTAATTGTTTTTGGGAATTCGATAATACTCTTCTAAGTATTAATTTATGTTTTTGAAATCTTTTCATTTTTAGGCAAATACATGGTTTGTAAGAGGTTGACGTGAACCATTGAAGCGAATATTTAGGGTTCAACTATGTTAGTAAGGTTTTTGTTCATTTTGTAAATCTCTAAATAATTGCAATCCATATAACAGCGCCTAACTTTTTTTGATCCGAGGGAGCTGCAATTTTGTTGCAAATAGAACGAAGTTGTGGATTTAAGCTTTCCTTTTGTAGTAATAAAGTGTTAAATTTTATTTTTCTCTTGGTAATTCATAATGCTTCTGATTTTTGATAATCTTGTTGCACCTGAGCATGTACATACCTTTATCTTTTACACAAAAGTCAAATTATTATGTTGCGTGGGATGCTACAAGCGAAAGTCGTTAAATAACAGAAATTATTTAACATTGCCACCAGAGTGGTTATAGAAATTATTTGTTTTATTTTTCGACATGGTCTTCCTGCTTCAAAATAATAATAATTTACCTCTTCACAGTTTGATTTTAGATATGGCTTTATTATTATCTGCAGAAATCTGCAGGATGAGTAACCCTGCAGATTTATTTGACAGATTCAAACAAATGAGACTCAGCTAATCACTACGTTGGATATTACAACATCTCATATTTCATTGTGTATCATTGAGACTACATTACATACACTTTTTTGAGAGAACTTCCATTTCGATTACCTCACGAACGTCAACTTCTTCAGCATATGAATGTATTGAGTACTGTCATAATTTCACTTTTTTCATAGACCTTGGAAACTAAGTCTATGCTTTTTTAATGGAAGCATACTAGAAAAAATCTACCTAGCCATGACACAAATAATTGACTACTTATGCTTTTTCAGACAATTTTCAATAATAACAACCTCTTTCTACTTCTGTCAAATTGATCACAAGTTGTCCATTGCTTTGTGCTTTATGAAGTGCTTTGCCGCAGTAAATGAATTTTGTGAAATTGATATACAAATTTGATCAAATCAAACGAATGGTCCTAAACATATTCGACGAAGCTGCATCATATTTTAAAGTAGAAAAACTTTAGACGCAACCAATCGTTTGCAGGAAAACGGATCTCAAAGATCGTTGTTTGAAAGTATCTGCTATTAGTAAAATGATAAATAATATATCTTCGCCAAGCGTTTTGACATTTTTACATGGTCAAATAGGCATGAATAAAGTTTCAGCAAGGTGGTTTAGGAAATTGTTAACCTGAACAAAAACTTCTTGAGACTTGGGTTCTTTGCTAGGACCCAAAAACAAAGTTGTGGTCCTTGCTCATTCATAAGTTACATAAAAAAAATTACATGCGGCTATTGGCCAAATTTGTTCTGGTTTATCTCACTAGAATATTTTTCAAGTCCAACTCATCTTTCGCGATTGTATTCTGAGCGGAACTACCTGTCGTACTATCCAGTTTGGCTCGGTATGTCCTTTAATTCAGAAATTTAAACAATCTCTACAATGAACACCATTTTACAGACAATAACCAATTGAACTGATAACTATGCTGTCTGTAAGTATTTATTTCTGACATTTTTTAGTTACTCTTTTATTTATATTATTATTTTTATTTGATCGAGTATTTCAGCCACGCAGAAAAGTATAAAAGTTATATAAATATTTATTTTCATCGTGGCAGAAATTTCCAATAAAAAAGAGTAACTGGACCCTACTTCGAAAGAATAAAGTCGTTGAAAAGCAGGTGACTCAAGTGCGTTGTAATAAACTTGTGTCACTAATTAGAACCAAACTTGATTGAAATTCCAAAAGGTAATCAGCTTAACTTTTCCAACGAAGATCTGAATATTTAATTTGTTAGCACCATGACAGAATGCGAGGTAAAATACATACTTCTACCCCAATGTTTGTTATTTTCTGATGATGTACTTAAGAACAAGAAGTTTACAGAGAAAACTTTAATAAAGACAGATGGAATCCACAAAGAAAAGTTTTCTTTGTAATGAGCATATGTTAATTTGTGGATAAGAAAATAGCAACACAAACAGTTTTTGTAAACATTATTATGACGATGATATTCATAAATACGTGTACTTAATGACTTTCAGTTGTATTGCTGAAAATACAATTGGGGCTTGTTATTTAGGCACACGAAACTCTCTGAACTTTTCTAAAAATTTGTTCAAATCTGTTCACAATTTGACTTGAATTTAGAAAATTTTTTTGGAGATTTCAATTTCGATTATTGTTTTCTTCTCAAACTAACATGGCATTTCGCATTACACTTTTCGAGTTAGACGGGCGTTGTTAGTATATGGAAATAATTCAGTTCCTACCACAGCTACAGCATCATTTGGACGTTTCGCGCGCCATCCTCAGTCACCTGTCTAGCGTCCACCAATCCGTCCAAACCGTGCTTTATGATACATGATATGTAGTAGTTGTAGAGTTCAGTCGATGACTTGATTCGGCCCTGGCGGGTCGCTAGGGGGGAGGCTAAGCAAATGTTAGGCTTCCAGAAATATGAGTGCCGTCGGTTTCGGCTCCATATTGCTCTTTTTCGCCTCGACGACCAGGAACTCTATCTCTTCGCGGTCCCTCCTCGCGAAGGACTCGGCTATAAGGCGGGCGACGTCTTGGTGTTGCAGTCCTTCGACTCTGGTGCCGTCTACCTGGAGGATCAGCTGCCCCACCTCCAAGCCGCCGGCGTAGAATGCGGCACCATTTTCCTAAAAAATATATAAACAAAAGAATCAGCGTCTGTTTTCATTGTCCTTTTACAAAATATTTGATAAAGCTTGAGGATATACAGGGTATTCAGGAAATGGTGGACACTCTTTCATATGTAATGACTACTGAAGATATACACTCCAAAATGGTTGTAGAATAGCTTTGCTTATTTGAATAAAAGACGATTAGACAGTTAAGAGTCCAAAAACCATGGCAATGTTTAGAAATTATATCAAAATAATTGTTTTGTTTTTCTGTAAACGCTGATGACAAGCTACTAACATCGTCATATATTTTCGACCTTTACTCATAAATATGCATTCTACAACATAAATCGAAAGCTTTTATTGGAAATGATCTATCCAACATTAAAAAAGTTCTCAACATCAAATAATTCTGTTTTAACAATTGAAACCCCTCAGGTTGCATTTAATTTCGACGCCACTGGTTAGCTCTTATTCAAATTTTACGTTAGGTATCAGAAGGAAATTATACTGTATCAAATTTGGAATACCTTCAGTGGTTCTTGGCTAACTGTAAACCTTGAAAAATCATAGAGCCCCTAGGAATATTTTTAGGAGAAAATGTCTCGTTTTTTTTATATTTTAACGAGAGATCTGAATTTATGTGACAACGTCGTTCTTAACACCTTGCATATAAACGAAATTAAGTAAGTATACAGGATGTTTCTGAAATAAGTGAGTTCTTTAAAAAGGGGCACGAAAATGAGCGGTTGTTTAATAAAAGTTGCTTGTTTTCGTGCCTTCTATCTCTCTTTTAAGAAACGCATTTATTTCAAAAACACCCTCTATTACACACCTACAGGATGTTACAAATTCTCTTCCCATTGCAGGGATCTCGGAAACGGTAAGAGATACGCAGTAGCTTAAATAGGGGCAAAATTGTATAATCAGGGGACCAACATTATGCCCCTAAAAAATTAAAGCTAACATGATTAGTTTTCAAAATATTAAAAAAAAACGAAACTTTGGAAATCGGTTTTTGTTTCATTTCATCCTTGTTTGAGGTGATATTGAAAAAAGAAGAACACTCTCATGACAACTTTTTATCCTTTATCGAATGGCATAATCAATTTTTATATGTAACGTTTTATCTCCCCAGGACCATCATCAACTTCATTTTTTTAAATACGACTCTGGATTTTGTTACAATTTTTGCAAGCCTTCATGACCCCCAATACTGTACTGCCTCAGCCCGAACCAGATTCAGATGTTTTGTCTCAAAAAATTCGTCTTCATGTATTTGTTCCAAATTTTTAAAATTTTTTAGATTTCTATTGAATTATCGTACACTCTAAGTGTCGTTAGACCCTGTGAAATATACCTAGTTATTTAAACTATTACCATTGCACGTTACAATGAAACATTATTAGAGTTTTAATCCCGTACTAACTTATAATTATTTCTAGGTTTCTCGAGTGCTCAAAATTCAATCAAATTTCGATCTCATTTTTTATACAAATACATCTGACATGCTCTTTCACAGTTACGGTTACAGGTATAATAAATTCCGATCATATTACGCATATCTTCATTTTCAACATATGTCAAAACGGAAACGTTTACGAATTTTTTAAGTATAATATTCATTTGGAGCTTTGGTTGTTCATATGCATGTTTAAGAATTAATTTGCATAATAAAATTGAAATTGTAATAATGCTTTAATTTTGACGCAACAACTTATTGAGTTATGTATGACCAGGTGATGGAGATTAAAACTCTAATGATGTTTTGTTGTAAAGTGTGATGGTAATAGTTTAAGTAACCAGGTGGATCTCACACGGTCTAGCGACACTTATAGTGTACGATAATTCAATAAACACAAATCTAAATAAAAAATTTAGATAAAAAGAAGAATACATTGAAGATGGATTTTTCGAGACAAAACGTCTGAATCTGGTTCGGGCTGCGACAGTACAGTATTGGGGGTCATGAGGGCTTGCAAAAAATGTTATAAAATTTCCAGGGTCGTATTTAAAAAAATTAAGTTGATGATGTAGAGACGAAACGTTACATGTAAAAATTGATTATGCCATTCGATAGAGGGCAAAAAATTGCAATGAGAAAGTTCTTCTTCTTTTCAATATCACCTCAAACAAGGCTGAAATGAAACAAAAACGGTTTTTCAAAATTTCGGTTATTTTAATATTTCGAAAACTAATCATGTTTGTAATCATGATTTTTTAGAGACATAATGTTGGTCCCCTGATTTTGCAACTTTGCACCTATTTAAGCTACTTCGTATCCCTTACCGTTTCCGAGATTCTTGTAGTGAGAAGTGAATTTGTAACAGCCTGTATATCTTACAATATTTTTAATGTTTTATTTTTTAAATAAATTGCGTTTCATTTGTGTATACATTTTTTTTTAAAATTGGTAAATATCTTATTTCTAGAAGTTGTTATGAACAACAAGACAATTAAGCAATTGTTTTATAAACATAAAATTACAATTCTTTATCATATTCCTATTTTTCATTTTGAAAATAATTACATTTATATAAAATGCAGTACGTACAATGTTTATACTCAATCTTTGTAGTAGTTGTGAAATACATATAACCTTGCTGACACAATCCTTGTGTCTTGTGTCTTCTTCTTAAATAAGTTCCACATGTATAAATTGAATCCGTGAATAAATAAGCTAACAATAGGAGCACCAGGCCATCGGCTATTCAACGTATGTATATATACCAACATAGATTTATAGCAAACCGTTGGTGGTCGGAACCACACTATGCAGCGAACAACTTTTTCTTTCTTAGATGCGCTTATTGTCATTCACGTTACGAAGTTAATAGAACAATAGAAACCTAGCATATTTTATTAGTCTACGTTCTATATTGTCGCAACCTTTTTATTAGATAGTCTGGCGACGGTACAGCGACCGCGATAAAGTTTTGCAACATATTGGAAAACTGAAATTTAAAAAATTTTTGGCAGTTGTTTTTGCACTTTTAATATATGTAATGCAACCACTGGTTTGGCGGCATAATCCTAGAAAAAAATCTAAACTACCACTAACTGCAACCAATCAACGACCTAAACTTCATTATGGCCAACTTGGAGGCTCAATAGTGAAATGGAAAATTGATAAGTTGCATATATGTTTTAAATGTCTAAAAATAATTTATAATCTTATATAATTTTGAAGTGAAAACGTTATAATTTCTTAAAGGTTGTTAATTAATAATACAGTTCCACAAAAAGAATCTTGTGCAAATGACCAGTATAAGTATATTATTTTCATGTACTCGTATAATAAAGCAGCACTATATGATCCAGGTATGATTTAACAGCGACTGAAAATCGTGCTCTGACCTATGTATTTTGGCTCGCTGAATCCGAATCCGATGTCACTGATCTCGAAAGGCTACAAATAATCCAAAAATAAATTATTCCCATAAATTCAGTGTTACCCATAGAGACCTCAACGCCTGGTGCGAAAATTTTTTGGCGCTCAGTTATAAACGATCAGAAAAGCTTTAAACCTAACAGCCTAAAGGATTCAGTTATAAAGGATTATAATCTTTTCAAGGAAAAGAGCAATTTATTACTTACATTAAACTATTATACACTCCTGGACAATATTACCGCACCAACATAATAAATCCCCACAAAAATTGCATTTTTTAAAATAAATTAATGAGAACAAAATGAAAAGCAAAAAATTGCAGTATTTAATTAATTTAACAGTACTGTACGAAAAATTACAATTTTACATTTTAATTGGAATAAAATTAACGGTCCTGAAAACTATATGGAAAAGTAAATAATAATTAAATGGTAACAGAACGCAATGGATGGTAGTATTGGGATATTAATAGCGTTTGTTGACTGCTCTACTTCTAATTACTTCATTCATACGCCTAGGCATATGCTTCTAATCAAATTTTGAATGACATCCTGTGGAATATTTACCAACTCTGTAAGAACTGCATTTTCGAGTTCTCTCAGGTTGGCAGGTGCAGGTATGACGTCTTGCTCTATCAAATTCATCTCCGGACTTTTTGGTGGCCCCTCAATAAACGGTATATGAACGTCATTGAGGTAATCCAGTACTTCTCTAGCAACGTGAGGTCGAGAAATTGTCCTACGTAAATAAAAAATTGTCTCCTAAAAAGGGACCAAAGGGCATTACATGTTCAACTAGAATAGAGACTAACTCTGTGCGAGCCTTATAACAAATTCCTCACCAAAACATTATAGAGCCACCGCCAAATGAAATCTTTGGAGATATTGCATTGCGCAAATCTTTCTTCTGGTCTCCGCCAGACTCGTTCGCGACCATCAGGAGATTTTAGGCTCACCCTAGTTTCATCCGTGAATAAAACTCGTTTCCAATCGATTGCAGACCAATTACGATGATCTCTGGCAAAGCGCAACCTGGCAACTCTATTCCGTCTGGTAAGCAGTGGTGCAATTGCTGGTTTTCTACTTGCCAGTCCAGCTTATTTTAGCCTTCTTCTGAATGTTCGAGTAGAAATCGAAACATTTCGGATAGCTTCGAGGTCATTTCTTAACGCCGAACTAGTGACTGACCTGATGGTTCTTAAAGCAGATTGCACTGGTACATCGTTTTCGCCCTTGTCCCGTTTCATTAAAACGTCTAATCACTCGACGTATATTTAGTAGAATGGTTTACTCCCCATAAATTGGCAACATAACGCTGATAATATCTCTCATTATTATTTAATGTTAATGCTCGAACTATCTCATGTTCCGTTAAATTCCTTGGACGATTAATTTTAAAACTTTAAACTAACTCGTAAATTAATATCCAAAACACACAAACAACGATAAACACGTTAACCGGGAAAAAAAACAATAACTAATCTCGGTTTCCAACAGATTTAATCGTAATTATTGATTAAGGGTACCGCTTAACTCAAAAACGTCTCTTTACAATTGCCAAACAAATGCAGCTGTCAAAAAAGGTCCAAAGCCTACTATTTATTTTCTTGGTAGTCACGCAAAAT